AGGGTTTAATCGTTCCAAACAGTAAAGTCCATTGGGTTTTTTTGACAGATTTTAGAAAGTCCAAGGGTTTATTTGTTCCAAAAAATTGTCCAAGGATTTAATCGTTCCAAATAGTAAAGTCCATTGGGTTTTTTTGAACTTTTCCCTTACTTATTTTGATATAACATCGGTAATAAATATTTTGTAGAGTTTAGATAAATAGCTTATAAAGCTATCGGTACCAAACCAGTAATAAAAAGTTTTTGAAGAAGTTAAACTACTATAACTTATAATAAGTTGATAAGGACTTTTGTAGAAAAACATAAATTGTTTCAAATAAGCAATCTCAAACACCTCTAAATACGCGTACAACTCCAAACTTCATATTAATGTCATTTACACCCCGATGCAATAGAATGCACACAAGGGGCATAATTGACATTTTTACAAATAATTGACGGGTCATTTATCATCCCATAAGACAATAAATTTTGTTCCAATTTGATCAAATCACTTTTCGGACAATACAATTTTGTTCGATTCAAATATGTTTGTTTATATATTCGAACCTTGTAAACTGATTTGGGAATGATGCGGGTCTGAGTGTAGAGAACCAGACCTTAATTTTCTTGGAATCTCATGATTGGATCAACAGCGAGTGTCCACGAGCATTACTTTTATTATGGGTTTTCGTTTCAGGCTCACAATACGTTGATCCTAAACTTAGACCCACAATAGCATAACTTTTGCTACGGGATTTCGAAACCAAAATCCCGTATTAGCATGTTTTGAGCAGGATCAATCCTAGAGCTTCTGATGCCCTGCTAAAAAATGTCCACATGCATGTCGCAAATATCGATCATATCAAACTCGATCCAACCCCAGGAAAAACCGAGATGGAACAACATAGAACCTTAATCGAATTTACCCAAGATAAACTCAAAACGTGTTTGTAATGCGGAAACGATAAACCCGAATCTCTCAATAGAAACAATAATCAACCACAAACAATAAACGTAACTTGACGGAAATAAATAGGAGTAAAAACGACACCGGATTTATATGAAAACCCCAAAATGTGAAAATCCACAGGCAGAAAAACCACAACAAAGTTCACTATACTTGATCGATGTTACAATACTTGGAAGATCTATTGGGAGAGAAAAATGGAAAATATATTTCTACCTCAATAATACTATTGTACCGTACCATTATGGAAGAAGATTCGGCCAAAATGTGGTGGAGCATGTGGTTTAATTCGATGCAAAGCGAAGAAACCTTACCAGCGCTTGACATACCGCGAATCCTCTTGCCTTGGAATAGGAATAAATGTAAGAAAACGGATTGACATTAGCGCGATCTGATCCATTCTCAGAGATCAATCCTGAAAAACTGAGATATGATTACGAAAATAATCATTCAAAATCAGAAAAGAAAGAAGAATTACATTCTATCCATTATTAGGCCTTGAAACAGAATCTATTTTTCGGGATCTCAAAGGAGCATGGAAACACAAAAACTCTAGAATAGAAATGGAAAAGAGATGAAACTCCAATTCCGATACGAAGCAAAATAAAAACTAAGGGGTCGTTTACCAAACTCTTACCCGGGTAAGCGTTTACCAAGTAACATTACCTCACTGGATGAATATGGTAATGATCAAGAATCTTACTCGGTAAGAGCGAGATAAGGACCAAGAGTCTTATCCCAGTAGGTGAGAACGATGACTCTTACAACAACGATAAGTGCTTATTGAGTAAATTGTTGCATACGATGTCATTTTGGTGGACTAAAATATTATGATAAGTAAATAATAGTGTTAAATTTTACCGATAAACACTAAACACTTATCGGGTAAATGTTTGATAAATGATCCCTATAAACCTCACATATTTAACCCTCATGCGATTTCCAATGCGGGTTAATAAATTGAGAAAGTCGCATGGCCCAATATGAACATTCGGTGAGTAAAACGAGTTTTAATGTGGGCTTAGAGGCATATAAAGTCGGCTTAGTCATTGTTAGAGCCTCCTTTATTGACCTTTGAAGTTGACTTTAGGTGCTTATTCCACTTCCATGCATAACGATTAATTTTGAAACCCATTTTCATGCATGTATTTTTGGAAGCATATATATATATATATATATATACACGAAATGATTTGGAGTCAACACTTTTATAATTTCCACCTTTGACTCCATCAAGTGACCAATTCACAAAATTATTCGAACTCGTTTTAATTTTGAAAAAGGGGATTTGCAAATTTTATTGTGAAACAGTTCTACAACTCATTTAACCTCAAAGTTACACCCCAAGTGTTTGTTGTTAATAATTTGTAATAACGAGCTTGCTAAATCCTTAACTGAAAGATTCTTCATTGATTTCTTTCTGACATACTTCGAAGCAACAAACATTCCGAGATAATTTATGATTACTTGATTTCCAAACTTTTTGATTTATTATTAATATGATGGTACATTCTAACTCATGAAGAAATTATTAGACCATATATATGCACACATATACATATGTGCGTTTGTGCAGATGTTCAAACGAGAACAAATTAAGCCTATAAAAACCTGAGAACACCTTTTATCATATGTGATAGTATACGTAAAAGTGAAATTGATGGTGTGCATACGACTTGACCCACGACCTAGGCCAGGCCAAAGGATGCATGCACGTCTCTGATTTAATATTAAATGTAATTGATTATAGTAAAATGGTGTTCTTTTGTTTTTTGTAAACTGAAAGTGTACTCGTTTAAACTATTTCCTATATATATATGTATATATATATATATATGTGTGTGTGTGTGTATATATATATATAGAGAGAGAGAGTGAGAGGTTCAAACAAGAACACCTTCATTTTACGAGAATGTGAGAACACCCTTATCACATGTGATCATACGCGTGAGGGGACCCTGCGATGTGCGAACGACGTGTTCTACGACTTAGGTCTCGTCAAAGATTGTCCGTGTCTATAATTTAGCATCACATGTGATGGTCTTGATGAATTATAGTATCATATCAACAACACTCTTATCACATGTAATAATACTTGTGAGGGAGCTTAATGGTGTAAGGGTCACTTGGCCCGCAACCAAGATCGCATCGAAAATCGTTCGCGTTTCTAATTTAGTATCACGTGTGTATCATATGTGATGGAATAATAGTATCACATGTGATTGTATATAGTAAAAGGTGTTCTCGTTTGAACACTTCCATATATATATATATATATATATATATATATATATATATATATGTGTGTGTGTGTGTGTGTGTGTGTGTTTGTGTGTGTCTTTATTTAATGCCAACTTGGTGGTTTATTCTCCTTTTAAGCTTAAGTATCATTCCAAATGTAGATGGTCTCTCAATGCCAAAACTTGAGCATGTTAGTTGTTTGGCTAATAATGACCCAAGTATGTTGTATTGCCTCCTCATGTCCAAACTCTTTACCCAAAATATTTATGCACATCCCACTTGCATTTTGAACCTAAACTTCACTTATATTACCATAAAACCTAACATGATTGGAAAAGCGGGTGCTAATGCAAGTAAAGGAGGTGTTGTTCGTCCACTTCTGCTCCAACTGAAAAATTACTTTGTAGTCAGAGAAAACTCAAACGTAAGCTAAAACCGGAGATGAGAATATACTTTAGGTTTAGTCCTATTGCCTGGAAGCAGAGGGGAGTTCACTCACACCCAGGGCTGCTTCATTCTCCTAAGCCTCAAAATAGACACCTTGATGTCATTAGATAACTGAATCAAATCTGTTCAGTATAATTTCCTTACTTATAAAATAACCTACGTCTGTGGACCAATAATACTTGGTTCGTAGGATTAGTTGTTTATAAGTGAAAAATCACCTTACATTTACGAAATTAAACAATAAATAAAGAAGACCCAAATTATGGATGACAAGATATTAAAACTTTTTTTAAAATTAAAAACGACTGAATACTTGTAAAGACAATCAAATATTGAATGATGTTGACGTTGATCAATAATCATTTTATAATGATAGCAATTGATAAATAATTATTTTTTTTAAAAGCGACATGTTACAATTTTTCAAACACCTAAAAATGTTAATTTTTTATGAGGTGGATATCAATG